TATTTTTAGTTCCAATAACTTTTAACGATTTTATAATATATTTATATTTTATAGTTTTTTAATCCTTTTTATAATTTGTATTTTTATTTCCTTTTCTACCAGTGATTTCATTGTTATTACTTTGTAGGGGCTGCCGTATATGAGGAATCAGCTCTTCCCTGGCAGCACCCTTTTTGCAACTTTATATATATATTATATATATATATATTATAATTTGTCTGCAAATAAAGTTATTATAAATAAATAAATAAATAAAAAGATAGATATGTGTTCAAGTTTAATCAGATACATATCACCATTCAATTGCAACAAAGGAAATAGAGAAAACCACACGATGGCAATCAGGGCTTATAAATCGATCCCACTGGTTAAAGAAATCACGTGGAAAGTTGATAGTCGATRTATGCAGCTCAAACTTCATTTCTTTTGAAAGTTGAACATGTTCGTTTTACGTCCTATCTTTCTTATCGTTCTTATGAAGAAATAGAGATAAGTTGATTTGTTGACTTGAAGGTTGGTTTATAATTGGTTGGTGGGTTGATAAGGTGGAGCATAGAGAATATGTAAGTGAATAATTTAATAACTTTATTAGCTTTTGGAAAAAATAGAAGAATGATGAATAACAAACACATCAAGTGCTTAAAGCTTATGCTATATTCAAACACATAATAAGCATACATTCTGGATTCGATYCTCAGTCACGATAGCCTTTTGCAGTATGAACATTCACAAAACTAATTATTGCGAAAGGCTTTGTTAAATGGTATCTTATTACAATTTTACTTATTATTACACGGCATGTAAAAAAAAACTGGACGCGAAGTACCTTTGCTTACCGTGGTAAACAAATGCAGTCTTAACAAAATGACGAAAATAATGTACAAAATTATGTTTAAGGGAAAGTAAAAACAGAAATGCAATTCTAGCCGTGGCCGTGACGGGTTGCCTGTGGTAGTCACGTTATCCTTCAAACAGTTTGACTGTTGAGATTGTTGAGTAATTATTTGGATCGTAATATGCTGTCTTCAATGTGTTGATTCTCTACAAATCAAGTAAAATCAGGTACAAAGTGTTCATACTTTAATAGTACGGTTACGTTGTTAAATTGTGATTGAGGCTTTATAAAACCAATCTATACCGAAAATCACTGGATCGAACCTTTAGTATCGAGTCACACGACAATGATATTGAGCATGCTTCAGCATGCTTAACTTAAAACGATTGAAATATCTCAGCAAATCTTGTAAAACTTTGTCAGAATGTCAATAAAGGTTGTATRTTTTATTCCATTGAGATTTTTGTCTATTAATAAGCGGTTTAATGGACCAAATAATTTTCCCTGCTCATAAAGCGTTCTATGTGGATTAGGGAATTAGAAGTTAAGAATCATAAGTTTATATGAAATAAATGAGCTATGYTACTCCCATAAAAGTGCATGGCTTACCTTTTCTCTTCTCCGCAACGTTTAGGCTCACGTAATATGGTAGAACTCTTGATACATCGTCCATGATRCTTGCAATATATTCATTAGTGTCATTGACAGTAAGGTTCTTCAACACAAACCAAGCACGACCCATTKTCAAGTTTCCAATAAAATCTACTCTTCTTTTCAACGTGTCGCCAATATCTTCGTTAAGGTGCACCTTTCCATTATATGAATTAACGCTGATAAACTGAGGATCAGGGATGTTGCCCTTTCTTATTCCCCATCTGGCAATAAGGATTACTTTTTGATCCGTTGTGTTCCACATAAACAAGGCATTTTCTCCAATAGAACCTTTGATATGTGTTGGACCCTTGATGGAGCATACTTTGTCAAACAAGAAAAAAAAAAATTATAAGGTATTGATATATGTTTGCTATTATATTGTATCATTKAGCTGCTGCCTACGATAATAGCGGAGCTCCAGCGCGAGCGGAGCACCATAGGTATAGAATGTGGTAAACTATCCAACTCAGTTTTCGTGGTCATCGCATATGAACCCTGTACGTAACGCTACAAGTGTCGCCTGCCAGGTGTACATTGCGTTTCTGATTGGTCGAGCTTTCAAATAACACGTCACTTGGACCATGACGAGTTTTATTAAATTAATTATCTTTGTGTGTGTGTGTAAAATTGTAAAAACGAAACAAAAAATCATGAAAGAAATCATGGAAGAAAAGACTTCGTTCGACACAGTGTAC